GAACAACAACAACAACAACAGGTGAAACAACAACAACAGGTGGAAGAACAACAACAACAGGTGGAAGAACAACAACAACAGGTGAAACAACAACAGGCGTCCTCACCTTGTTCATGACCACGATGAACGGCAGCCTGGTCTTGTAGAGGATACTGGAAAACACAAACAGAATCTATGATTGGATCTTCGTTCTGATCAGTTCCATGTTCTGCTCTTTGACTCGGGTCAGTCTGCGGTTTGATTATTTCTGCACAGAGCAGCTGATCGGCAGCTTTATCAATGTTCTGATCGATCACACGCATCGACTGGTGACGTTTTCTGATGAGACCTTTTACACAAAATGATGCAAATGACCAAAAGACACATGAAACTCCTACAAACAGATGAAGAATCAAAACTAAAATTAAAAAACACATTTAAAGAAATCTTAAAGACGTACACGGAGTCACCAGAACGGCACGAAACATCCACAACAGGAGGAAGAGTCACCACAGAAAGGACAAAGCTACACAACAGGACTCAGATCTGCCCTGTGACACGCAGGAGGACTCGTCTTTCACTAACACCTGTCACGTCGCCATGACAACAGTCCAGTTGCTGAACACCTGGACAGGTTCTGCTGGATCCTCTGTAGACAGAAATACTTTATACTTGTTGTGTTTTTAAAGGTTTGGGAGGAAACGAAGTATCCGTCAGCAGCGAACTATGAAGCACGAGTGTGTTACAGACAGTCTGCAGTCAGGCAGCGCCCCCTGCTGGAGCACCGACGCCACTGCTGTCAACACACAGAGTCAATGGTCTCTTTACTCAGCAGCATTCAGGAGAAGAGCAGTGGGAATAGAGAATGAAAAGCTGCTGGATGAACCTCACGTCACCGCCGTCGCCTTCACAGACGGTCTGTGTCCATAAAACACCTAAAAAACTAAACTCTGAATCAACACAAAAACACACAAAATCGGGGGAAAAAAGACAAAAAGTGGTAAAAAAAATCACTAAATCAGAAAACATCTGACTTCCTAGAGCTGCATTCAGTCTGAGGTCCTCATGTTAGTGGAAAAAGGATCCACAAAGTCAGCAGAAACATGTGAACCTGTTCTCCGACGTTCTGCCTCCAAACACAAAGACACAAACACACACAAACACACGACTCCGTGTCCTAACCTTCCTGCGTCCCGTGTTGTAAACGACACGCCGACTCACCTGCAGGCGTACAGCATGTTGGACATGAAGGTGACGGGGCTGACGCTGCGAGACGTGTCCATCACGTAGATCACCACACACGGGAAGGACGACGCCTGCAACACACACACACACGCACGCTAACGTCATACGTGACTCAAACACACACGGCTGGATGTGGATGCGTGGCGTGAATACGGGTCGACCCACCAGCGCCTCCGTGATGATGGTTCCGGACGCCGACCAGGTGAACACCTCGATCTGACCCGGGGTGTCGATCAGAACGTACCTGGAGAGAAACGCAGGTGAGGCTGAGGTGACACACTGAACTGGTAGAGTACATAGAAGCTGGAATTAAACCAGTTTAAACCAATTAATGAAACCAGACATTCAGGATGTAAATAAGCGTCACAATTAGGGATTTATTTAAGGAAAAGGAGGGAAGGAAGTGCATTTAATTTACAGAGTTGTAAAAATAAATGCAGCATTATGAAATAATTAAAAGCAGGTATTTTGAAATGTCAGTTTAAAGAAAAGATTTACTCTTACATGTATTTACATATTTATCACCACATTTACTCATTTCAGTGTTTATTTCACAGCGCAAATATTTATTAGTGAATTTATTTATTTTTTCACAGCGTTCCGTAAACGATATCAGAAACCTTAACATCGGATATCAGCCAGACATGTTAATATCGTGCATCACTGCCAATGAGCAGGAAACAGTCGTGTGTGTAGATCAGCAGAGTTCTGGTTGAATTTAATCCATCAGAGAAGTTCTGAACTCAGCTGGAGATTACTTTCAGTCTGATCTTGATGCAGGTTTGTATTCTGTTCAGTCCAACGTGAAAGTGCGCTAAAGACGTTTTGTCCTAATTGTGATGGTACGACTCTATCTGGATACTAACCGGTGATTCTGCTGCTTCTTCTCGATGAACTGCATCACCTGAACGGCACAAACGCACACAGTCAGACAACAGGAAGCACCGTCTCCGGCCCGGACACCAGCTGAAGTCGGGTTTGTTGTAACGCTGCTGCAGCAGCTCAGACACGGTGTCCAGAAGACGCAGTTCTGCACTAAAGCTGGCGTCCAGGTGCTGCAGCATCATTCACAGTCAAACTGACCAACTCCTGCGTCAGTGTGTCGGGTTTAGCATCAAAACAGAGCGAGCACACTGCCCCCATCAGGCCAGACTGGGAAATAAACGTCTCACGCTCTTAATGAAGCTGAAGGTAAACAGTGTGGAGACACCAGGGAGCTTCACTCAGCGACGCAGATGGACTAAACTGTGTGCTGTGAAGACGCTGCTCACCGCACAGGTTTAATTTAAGGGTTAATTAAACCGTTTACTGCAGAACTAGTGGCCTGAAAAACACACCAAACTATCCAGATAAACAACAACAACAACAACAACAACAGAGCTGCCTACAGAGGATCCAGGTTGGTCTGTTGGATGTATGTTTTTGTAGCTGTTAATTAGTTTATATAGTTAATTACTATAATTAATGGTGCTGTAGGGTGCTGCTTTACATTTAAATTAATGATCTCAATAATTAACAATGAAAGTCCTTAAAATGAATTGGAGTCACTTAAAGGAGGTTTGAATCAGATGAAATCCCAACATCAGCACCACCACATGCTCGTAACGCCACCATTTATGCTTTTACTTTGTCGCCCCAGTGACAGCGTTGTTTACAGGAAAACACCGAGTGAAGAGCTTGACTTGGATCTACGGAGTCACCTGGTCGAAGCGAGTCGCGAACAGGTTGAGCGACGTCACGATGCCGCCGTTGGGTCCGAGTCCGTACTGCTTCATCACCTCCTTGTAGTTCACCGTGTCCCTGATGTCTGCAGACAGAAGGACAGACTGAGGAACCGCAGCAGCTTCACGAAGGAACCAAAAGCTACAGGTCCAAGTCGTTAGCCGAGTGTCGCTTTAACTCTGGACTCTAAGACCATGTTTTGTTGTTAACTGATGATTTGATGCAAAATCAGTGACGATGTTCATGTTAGAAAATAAACAGTTTAAACCAGCTTATTAATAATAACTACAGCAAGAATAATCATCTGATTTTACACAGAACTTCCTAAAATATATAAATATATACAATATAAAATAACAGAAAACGCATTCAAGCATCAGGTTCTAAAAGGAGGCAAAAAAGAAAAAAACTCTGTGGTGGATAAACACTGGTGCCGCATGTGACCAGCTGCCGTCCAGTAAGTAGACGGGTCCTCACCGATGTTAGCAGGGAAGGGGACCTCATGCACGGCCGGGTCCAGGTTGATGACGTACGGAGGAGCTTTGTGAGTGTGAAGGTGAGCCGTCAGCCGCTGCACAAACACAACAAACACTGAGGTCACAACAAACAAACAACGCATCCGACGCCAGAGGGAAGAGCTACGAGGCCGGACCAGTGGGTTGTCAGGTACGCTGAGCTAAAGACCTGGCAGTGTCACGAAGGTGGCTCTCTTTTAACCTGCTAGGTCTCCATGGTAACTGATGCTGCGGAGCTAGGTCTCCATGGTA